GCTTTTCTATCAATTGGTTATGTTTTTTATGGTGGGGTCACACAAACCACAACCCACCACCCCCGCCGGTGGCGGTTGGGGGAATTCTGGGAGTTGAAGTCCACACATCTTAAAGTTCCCAAGGTTGAGAAGCACTGTTCTAGATTTTGAAGAACATGATTTGTTCCCGAAGCAAACTCCTTTCTTCACATTCATCTTGGTTTCCTTTGCACATCCAAGCTGGTTTCACTCAACCTGCTAGCTTGGATCTGCTTGGGCTTAGTGTGTGTGTTGAATCCAGCTGTTGTAGTTTGTAAACGAGGTTTATGCTTAAGCACAGCCTGGGAAGTTCTTCAGACACTGGACTTCAACTCCCAGAATTCTCAGCTGTGGCCGTGCTGGCTGGGGGACTCTGGGAGTTGTACCACAGAAACCTGGAGGGCAATCTCCAACTCCCAGAATTCGCAACAACGGCTGTGCTGGCTGGGGAACTCTGGGATTTGTAGTTCGCAGACCTGGAGGGCACTCTCCAGCTCCCAGAATTCTTGGCAGTGGCTGTGCTGGCTGGGGAACTCTGGGAATTGTAGTTCACACAGCTGGACAGTGACTTTCAACTTTCAGAAAGTCCTTCTCAGCAGAATTCCAAGCAAATCATCTTCATCTTCATCATCATCGTCATCCGTAACGTTCTTCAAAATGCCCCAAGGGTGAGTAGAAGGGACATTCCTTCCTCAAAACGCAACTTCTTCCCAGTTTTACACGTTGCACGTTCCCACAAAACCCCCTCCACGTTCTCCGCCGGAGCCACAGATCCAAGGTCAACGTTTCCCATTAGCTAAAGAGGGATCGGTTCATTTCCCGGAACCGCGTACGACATTTTCTTTCCTGTAAAGACACATCACATTTAGATTAAATTTAAGGATGCCCTTTCAGAGGGCACGGAATTGGGGCTTTCTCCCCAAATTTGGAATAGCTGGCCCCCCAAAATCCAATTGGACTCCCCCCTTTAAATTTTAGGATGCTGGTTCAACCCCACCCTTTCATCTAGGAAGAGTGATATCAGCTGAAAATGTCAATAGATATGGGATTAAAGATTTAAATTACTGGTTTTATGGATGTCTTTAATCTATGCACATTGTATTCTGCTTTATGGAGGCAACTGAAACCAGG